TAAAGAAGATGCATAACTGTATTTGAACACTTGAGTGTGAAGAGGATAGTAAATTAGTAAAACAGGTTTGTGGATGAGTTTGTTGTCATTTCAAATCATATAATTTGGGGAAAATAATCAAAATCAGCCTTGCATATCAGCCCCAAAATATCATCAGAACTTGATTTCTCTGGATTCTAAACAGATTTCAGCATTGGCCATAAAAAACAAAATACAAAGATTCTATGTTGCAATTTGCTCTTCAGCACAAACCAGTCTCTTTGAGGTCCCCGGCTTTGGTTCGCGCTTGCCGGTCCTTGGCACTGTCTCCTCCATGTGGGTCGTCTCGGCAGGTGAAGAGCATGAGGCGCTTGTGTGACAGGCGCAGTTTGATGTCACTGTACAGATTGGCACAGCACCAAAGGGCGTCCCCCAAAGAGGTCTCCCCACTGCCCATGGTCTCTGCTGCCAGCTGGGCACCTTTAGGTCCTCGCAGGGCATCAACCTCCTGCACCCGCTTTGCACCTGGGGCAGATGAGAAGTGCACTCAGATGGCTAGTGACAAAACAAAATAATTTACTCTACATGATCCTGGTTAGAAAGTAGAACATTTGGGGCATTTGACTTTGTATATTTGTTTGTGCAAGTGAATACTGACAACTGTGTAGCAGCTTTATGGAATTTAGAATGTGTATTGAGGCACATTTCTTGAAATTGGTATGCATGTTTCAAATGATTCAGAAGCATCTTTATTTGAGAGAATTGCATAGCTAATAATAAACATGCTTTTTATAACATGTTTTACTGGGTCTACACTAGGGCAAGCGAGTTTTATTAAAACATAAATTGTTTCAGCTATACTATTCATAATCATCCTTCATCTTCTACGGAATATTGTGTACATTTGACATATGGTATTTTAGATCCAGTTAACTTCTCTTACCAGGTTCATCCAGGTCGTGGTACACATAAACATGTTTAAATGAGTTTCTTGGGTTTTTGCTCTGCTCCGTGCCGTAGAAAACCAGAGCTACCAGATCTCTGTAACTGCTGATGATCTTACTGGTGTAGACAGTGCGCACCACCTATGCAGGAACATATCATTTTTGACAAATATGACATAAATATTTGTTAACTATTACAAGTTGATATGTAGTTAAATCATCAAAAGTTACCTGCATAGTCATGTCAAAGTTGGAAGGCTCTCCATCCTCTCCCTTGATAAACATTTCTTTTGAAACATCGACAAGAAACACCAAACTGTCTCTGCCCGAGATCCTGTAGTCACCTAAAGTATTCAGACAAATGTGGCCATTTAAACAAGGGATCTTTCTGTGGGAAGATGCCCTTTATTGTTTTTGTTGCATGGTTTGTGTGTGTTTCAAATTGTTTTAGTTTGTTATGATTTGTTTTCATTGTATGTATATTTGGGTTTCTGTTTGCAAAGGGCTGTGTTTTTTTTTATTATGTTAGACCACACCCCCAACCTGAGGAGCGAGAGGGACATTGGCTGCGCACACCTGTTGCTTATTGCGCAGCACGGGACGGAAAGTGGGTCAATTGGGGAGTGTTAAAAAGGCAAGCTTAGACAGAGAGGGTGTGCAAGTTGGACAGACCGGGCCCGAAAGGATACGGTGCGGCGACAAGACGGGGAGTACACGGACCTTGGGCTAAGAACGCAGGCGTGGGACGCAATGGTGTGGCGTGGAAGAGCTGGAGACCTGTATGTACCCTCCCAACGCTTGGTGTTCGTGCGGAGCGGCTGAGGGAAAGCCGCTCACAATCGGGGAGTCCTAACACGAAGGGTGGGTACATTGGGGTGGAGCAGTGTCACCTCCCCACTGGCGACTACTTTCCCGACAGAGCTGGCGGATCGGTGCAACGCAGACGGGTGCGGGAGGAGCACGGACGGAGTGGCATCCACGGCCCGGGGAATCCAGGTGGACCTATTGGACACAATCCGTGCCTGGTGATCGAGCGGAGCGGCTGGGGAAAAAGCTGCTCCAAATCTGTGAGTTCCCACACAAGGGTGGGGCAGCGCGAAGGGGTTCACGTTTTCTCCCCACTGGCAGCTCTCTTGTGTGGCAGGGCCGAGCCGCGGAGTGGAGAAGGCGGCCAGGGGAGCGTGCGTGGAGGGCTACAACGCTGAAGCCGGGGGGGAAGGAGTTGGATCCAATGCTCTGCCCTGGATAAACTCTTCAGCCTTCTTTTTCCTTTTCTTTGTTGACATTTTAGCGACTGTTAATTGTTTTAGCCAAGGTTCAACATACTTTTAATCGTGTATTTTACTATTTTTTTTATTTTACTTAAAGTTGTAATAAATTCACTGGAATTGTTTTTAATCTCTGGTTTTAATTACTGCTCACCCCTGGGTATTGAACCCTACCCTTTTTATTGGGTCCTAGTCCCCCTACTAGGTGGCGTTGTTGGCAACAAATATTTAGAATTTGGTTGGGATCTTTAGAAGAAAAATTGAGTGCTACCCCCCGCCCCTTTCCACTTGGCCACATTTCTCTCACTGTTCCACACATTCACTAAAAGTATATGCACATGAACCAACATACTAAAACATGTGTAGTGGTGTGTGTGGTACCTCCACTCTGTTCTCCATCCTCAAGCTCTTCATCATCATCTTCATTTTTGTAGAACGCGTTCCAGTCTGCCATTGCAACTACCTGTAATGTTACCAAACGTTAGATGCTTCATAAACTGTTGTTAAAGGCCCATCTACGTTGACTTCACCGGCAATGAAATGCTAAATGCCCACAAACACAACAATTCTTTTGTATTTACATGTTATAGCTAGTTAGCTTAGCCTGCAATCAGGGGGTTTACAATTAACTCCGTTTGGCAAATACCGATTCAAACTTCAGAGCTTTTCTCTATTTATTTGAATCCAGTCTCTAAGTATGAACTAAATGAATACTTTATGACATTATTGTTACTTACCTCAGTATAAATACCCCAGCACAAGTCTGGACTAGTCAGTGAGGTTTCAGTGAATGGCGCGCTAGAAACGCGAACGCGCACGCTGAAATCGTCAGAGCGTCACGCACGCCCACATTTGATCATGGACATGTCAATCACCATCATTGACCAATTCGAACAGAGTGAAGGTGGGGCTTGAGAACAGCGGGGCCGGAAACAGGAAAAGTAAACTGTTCCAACGTGAGGATGCACTTTTGACAGACAAAACATTGTTTACAGTGAGTGACACAGCATTTCAGTGTCTCTTTTACGCTTTGTCAGACAGACTTTAGCATACGAGCGTACCTCTCGTGTATTTTTATTTTATATTTGAGCCTTTATCTACTCTTACTCTTTTTTAAGATTAATCCTCAAAACTCTTTTGCCTTGCTAATCTTTACATTGAGCTAGCTTGACTTGATCTCTCCGATGGAGCAAACGGGCTCATACCCTGTAAAAGTCTATATCTATGACGTGACCAAAGGAATGGCTCGACAGCTCAGTCCTGTCATGATTGGTAAGTTATTAGGTAGTTAAAGCTTACGCGTACATTAAGTCGCTATGCTCATTTGCCTACTCACTCAGTTGTTATTTTTTCGATGAAGGGAAACAAATTGAAGGTGTCTGGTGAGTATATAATCCATTCATAAAATAAATCATCTATCGCTAGTAACTAATGAATGAATGGAATTTTTCATTGTGTTGTCTCCAATACTAGGCACACTGCCATTGTGGTTCATGGGAAGGAGTTCTTCTTTGGAGGAGATGGGATCAACCACTGTGCTCCTGTATGTGTTTAGGCTTATTTTCAGATGTCATCGTAGATGCTGGATGACATAAAGTGCTAAGCCCATGTCTTTATTTATTAGGGTAATACTATTTTAGGACCACCAGATTTAACTGTGGACTTGGGCTCCACTGAAGTTCCAGAAGAGGTCTTCATGGAGTATTTAACGTCTCTGGGAGAATCCACTTTTAGGTAAGTACCAATTAAATATTTCTTGCCAGCGTAGGTTGCTGTTTACGTATAGTGTTACTTTCAAAGATAATAATATTGAAATATGTTTTATTTTTCTGTTGTCTCAGTGGTGACAAATACCACCTGCTGGACCACAACTGCAACACCTTTAGCAACGAAGTGGCTCAGTTTCTCACAGGCCAGAAGATTCCCTCATACGTCACTGACCTTCCATCTGAAGTGATGTCCACGTAAGTCCACTTGGTTTAATTCATGAGGGACAGTCCAGTGTAGCTTCACTCTTCATGCACTGACTTATTAAACAGTACTGTATTTAAACTGCACTATGGAATGGTTATTATTGCTTTGACTATTTTAATACCTTGTGTGCTTTACTCTATAGAAAGTGCTAAAGAAATGCATTCTAATCACTTTCCATTTGTTCAGTTAGTTCATTTGTCCATTGTGTTCCTTTCAGGCCTTTTGGGCAGGCTCTCCGTCCTTTTCTGGACTCCATGACCATAAACCCAGGAGGCAACAATATCAGAGGCCAGCCATAGCAAAGCCATGTCTACCTGCCTTCTCCATTCTCCATGACTCAGGCACTTTTTAACTTTGATTTGACTTTTCCTGTGTGTACATGAAGTAAATGAATAAGAGTCAAAACGTTAACAGCATTATCATATGTTCTTTTACAATTAATGACTGTTAAATGAATATACCCAATACCCAGAAGTAATATTTTTGTACAACATTTAACCAGTATAATGCAACACACCATACTTTTTGTGTCAATATACTGGAGTTCTACCTTTTTAGGTAACAGTGATTAAAAGCTACACATTTTATGATATTCTCAAATAGTGCCTTAAAAATATTGCTTGAATTGTTAAGCTATATTAGGGCCAAAGTCCACACAGTAAAATAATTAATGTACACTAACAATGTATAATGTAAGTTTTATAAGATACGAAACTCATGGGCTTCATTATCTACTTGAGACTATGAGTTAAATTAGTCATGTTTTCAGAAAATTCTGTTACAGCACCTGCCAAGATCTGTACCTGTATATTAAATCGTACTGCGCTATACTGTGCACTGATAGTCGTTATTGTAAATAATGCTATAGTTGATTAAGAATTTTAAAAGTATTTTTTAAATTCTTTATTGTTTTCGTAAACCACTTAAACTCTAATAATAAAATTCAACTTGCTGTTGGTTAGTCTCGTTTGTGTAATACCTCAAGTAGCCTGTAGATGTCAGAACAGGACGTGGTATTTGCCAGATAAGTCACATAACACAATTTTTGCTGGTGTATTCCTAAATCTTCTCTTCACTTTTGATAGGCTGAATGCTAAAATTGTACAAAACCATTTTTAATACTACAGATTTAAAAATGACTAAACCACTAGTGGAGTATAATATCCCCCTCTGCATTTTCCCCTCTCTGTTAGAGCGTTCAAATAATCCAACAATAATGAGGATATTGTAAATTACATGACTCAGTTGTTGTCATGGTGTACAGCACAAAGTCAACTTAAACATCCTATATTACACAAAATGGATTCTTGTGAGCTTTAAGATATATTATAATGCTTCCTCATCAAAAACATACATGGGGTTATTTTTTTGTTATGTTTCATTCACACATGACTGAGTTATCCTTTATTATTAGTCTGCCTACATCTCCAGAGTTCTAAATGCTCTGTTTCATTTGATGTGCTGGATTTGTGTGTTAAACATGTGTGAATGAAACAAAATAAAACTCCAGGTATGTTTGTGATGAGGAAACAACATTATCACATAGGTCAGAAAGTAGCATGGGCCCTTTAATAATTTTTTTATATAGTTGTCTGCTCTGACTGGACATTTATTGGTGGTGACGTTTGAGTTGCAGCAGCGGTTGATCTAACAGCTGACTCCTGTCAACTTGTCACTTTGAGTTTGACTGTGTTGAGTGCAGTCCATTTAACGCCTGCAGTTTCATGGCCGCCTCAATCAGCGTGGTTTGATGAGAGCTGAACTCAAGCAAATCAAAGGTTCAACATGTCTTTGATTCACACATGTAAATCCAGAGGTGTGCATTGATTTAGCTGTTTTAAAATTTCAACCCACCCACATCACTGCATCAGTGTTTAGTAAAGTTACAAATGCCAAAGTGCAGCATTATATTATTACCCATACATAAAAAACATATATTTGAGTATTATTAACATTATAGCAGCTCAAGTGTAACTTTGATCTGTACCCACTCCCTAATAACCTTAATAAAGGTCCTGTATTATGTGAAATTGGCTGTTGTGAGCTTTTAATCATGTTGGAATGCTGTTACCTCTTCAAAAACATATTTTGATTTGTGTTTTCATTCATTCACACATGTATGAGTTATCCTGGATTATTAGTCTGTCTCCTGTTACTCTGTCTGCATCTTCAAAGATCAAAATGATCTATTCCACTTTGTGATGTCATGAAGAGGTAGTTTTCAAGTTCACAGGTAAGTTATACCTTTAGTTCAGTTTAGTTTAGTTCAAATCTGGGCTGAAATTATCCAAATGATTCTAGTGAAGGTGTATGGAGTTTAAAAACACAGTGGAGCACTTCCTGTATTACAACATGACATCACAAAGTGGGAGTGTTTTCTGTTTGAGGGAAGAACTCAAACTAAATATGCAGGATTTATGTGTTAAACGTGTGGATGAAACAAAAAACAACTCCAGGTATAAATAAAGCCCATCTAAATAAAGGCCTTTTAACTATATTTTTCCTTTTCATTTAATATTATCAACATAAAAAGCTTCTGTTACTATGTAGACTTACTCAGTGGGAAGAGAAATCAAAACTTTTACTGAAGTAAGAATACCGTTACTTCATTAAATTAATACTCAAGTAGTAATAGGTAAAAGTATGTGGCTAGAAAAGTAGAAAATGTAACTGAGTACTACCCACCTCTGGAACTTCGCACACCTTTTGCTTATAGCTGACTTCCCATATATTATTTTTGTTGTGCCCTTAGGCAAGACACTTCATCCAACTGGCTTAGGATGAAGGTGGTGCCGTGTGTGAGTGTTGGTGTGCAGAGGCCAATAGCGCAGATTGGCAACCTCACTTCCATCAGCCCACCCCAAGGCCACTGTGGCTACAGTAGTTTCTTACCCCCACTGAGTGGAGTGAATGAACTGAACTGTCAGGCATTTTGGCTGTCTTAAAAACTGCTCTATAAACCAAATGCATTATTATTATATTACAATAATATTTACAAATATTACATATTTGAATTCCTGTTGCTTATTTATAGTGTTTTGTCTTTTTACCTGACAATTGGTAGTTTTCAGATTCTAGAATGTGACAATGTCATACTCCCAGATGGGACCAGTCAGTTTTTCCCATTGATAACACTGCACTTTGCCATGAAATATACAAAATGTAAATGCACAAATGTTTTAGCTGACCCCATCTGTGTTAAATAATATTAATCTATAGAATTTTATGATATCTGAAACACAGCAATAAAACTTTGTCTCTTTTTTTGAGGTTTTCTGGCCTGAAGGCTTTTAGATTGGACAGCTGTTGCGGGCCAGAGAAGGTAGAGACATTCAGCGAACAGACCGGAGGAGCAAACCAAGGTGGTAACAACTGCATATGGCATCAACAACTTTGCAGTGTTCTGTTGCTCTGTTAAATTTACCATGACCGTGAGCCACAATGCTGACTTTCTGCCAAGTGTTGATTGATTGATGGGCTATTTGTGTGACTGGATAGCTGCCAGGACAAGCTCACCTATTGAGTTAGTTTAGGAAGTTTTACACATTATATAATTCTTGCACCTACTCACATTTATGTAGTTGTATTACACATTTCAGATATTTGGCACCACATTGTTATTTTATTTTCTGTAAGTGCTAATCAAAACAGTTTCTGCTTTGTCAGGGTGGATGTTCCTCTTCACCAATATGAAACAGGCACAATAGTCAGAATACTCCAGCGAGGTCAGACCTGGACATTGTACAGCTCCGAGTCACATACTGCCCCTTTGGTTGACTCTGACCGGCCCATTTAAAATACTTTGGAATTACAAATTAATTATTATTTATAAATTTACCTCATGCATGGACTAAAGCTGCATTACTTTTATTTTAGAGGTGTTTTTTAATGACATTTTTTGTAAGGCAACCTCACTTTTTCATTGCTTAGTCATAACATATACTCTATACATATACATATACATATACCAGTCATACCAGCTTGTCAAAACAACTGCTTTTTATAAAGAAATTCTATTAATATTATACACAATTGAATTAAGCATTTTGACCCGAGCCTCTACAATATTTTCTGTTTCTCATGTGGCCCCATGGAAACAATAATTGCCCACCCCTGAGCAAGGTACTTCCTTTTCCTCCCTAGTCCAGCTAGGTACTCCTGATTAAGAACTTACCTATTGATACTTTGCAGCTGATGTCATCAACATTCCCTGGAGGTGTGATGGTAACTATAGGCACTGCTCTGTCTGAAGCTCTGTTACTCAAATTAGACTTTAATTTGAGCTTTAAATGAATCTTATCTGAAACTACGACAGGTGAGATGAGTTGTGCTGTAAAACTAGTTTCTTGTCTCTAGTTTTTAGGGTTTTTTTTGACAATGTTTGATAATGTGTGCATTGTGTCGCCAAGGTAACTGCTGAACATTTTATCACAGATATACACGCAGAATCCCCCCGGTGTGATCAATTGTGCAACATGAGTACAAGAGTCCCATCTGCTTCTGTCAAGTGACCCCAAAGATATTAAAGTGCATATGACAGGTTTTCATGTTTTTCTAATTCTGACTTGGTTTGTTGAGATGGAACGTGTGCTAAAAAAGTATCATAGTTTTACATCATTTAAGTGACAGTTTTTAGAAAAGAAAGTTGAGAAAAGTACAAAAAGAACTAGAGGAGAGTTCTAAAATACTAAAATTATAAAGTACCTCAACATACTAGTACGATATCAGTACGAAAAATTTCTTCCAAAATGCAAAGACAATTTACTCCCAAGGAAGATATTTTGTGTGTTAATTTAACAAAATAAAGGTGTTGTCATCTATTTTTATTTGTCTAATCATGTGTAATTTAGTTTTGGCCCTTGTTAACATTATGGTTGCTAGGTAACAGAACTCGAATTACCTCTGTTTGTCATACCTGCTTTCTGTCCAAACAAGAAGAAAAATAGAAATGTCACTAAAACTATGAAAACAGTAGTAGTACTATTAGAAAAACATATATATAATTATGTTAGTGAATGTGTTTTATTATTTTTGTGAAAAAGTGCCCTAAGCTGTCATATGCACTTTAAAGACAAGTCAAATAGAGGATGCATTTTAAATTGTCTTAGTCAAAAACAGTCACAAACATTTCACTGCACTTGATTTTATTCTCCAAACTTTACACCTGTAAGTTTAAGTCACCACAAAACTCCATCACATCATACACTGTGTGCATTGCTACAACTGTTAAAGCCATTGTAACACATATAGCACTAGACTGGAATTGCACATCAGAAAACTGCACAGCTGGCCCTTCTCTACTTGTGTTTCATAGTAAATTGGACATAAAATAAATTCAAATGAACCCCATTATAATAACTTCAATGACTAACAAAGCCCTTTTTAAACAATATAAGAAACCCCATACATTATTTACACAGTGTTCATGTATATAGCACAAATAACAAGTAATGACATTAGAAACACCATAAAATACAAAGTGAAAGTAAATGTCTATTGCTTGTAAAAATGGTGGCCCCTGGTACCGTGTATAATTTATATATCCAGATGTGAGCATGAGTTACAATGCTTTCCATGGTATAGCAACATTACCTGGCACTATAAGGCAGTGTCCATGGAGATGTAATTCCTTTACCTAAAACTTTCCACAGCACGGCATTAAAATGATCTATCTCCATGGAGACCAAGAAGTGACACCATTAGGCCAAATTACACTTCAGATTGTGGAGATGCATTCAAAAAGTTTAGATTGAGAGAAAGGCATAAATCACACATTAAAGAGTAGAATATTACACTTCTATGGGATATTAATTGCTGACATATTTATATCACCAT